TGCCGCGGCCGGGCGGCTTCACCTGCCGCTGTCCTGATGCCCGGGACGACACGTGCATCGAGAGAGACCGTAACATCTGAGAGCACTTGAATGATGGACACGCAGGTGTATCAACGAGACGGGGATAAAGCAACACCTGTGATACATGATTCAAGGACAAAAACCATTGGGTATTGTAATTAGGGAGGGAAGATCCATTTCCTATCAGCCGCTAAACCCCGCCCCCATCACTAAAGTCCTGGGACACTGCAGATGTGATGAAGTAATGTGTGAAAGAGGAATAAATGAAGTTAGACATGGACATGAGTCCTGTATAAACTGAGAGAGGAGGAGATCTCAGGATAAAATGAGAGGAAGAAGAGAGCACAAAGAGCTGGGATAGACTGCAGAAAGAAGGAGGAGTGAATATGGTGCTTTTCAAACTGTGACCAATAGGGACGTCCAGGGGTCCGTGAGCCGGGGCAAGAAGGTCCAAGTCAAAACTGGTCCATTTTGCATCTAGGTTCCTGTTGATTGTTGAATTATTAAAATCTTTATAGTTTCAAATTTATTTCAGTATATTATTAACTGGTTATGTGGTAATTAAGTGATTGAATAACTGTAGTGACAACATCATGTGTGAAAGTCTTAAGTTATGTGGAGATAAAATATAGCCATACATCTGCATTTTAGCAAGCAAGTAAATGCCACGTTTTTTTCCAGTGTTAATATGACTGTATATGGGGTGTGGGGTGGAAGGGGTGGGATAGTTATGGGCTGGATATTATCATTATATTAATTATTTACATACATCAATATAAGCGTTACAATTATTTTCCAATTTTGTTCTTAGATTACCACTTTCTGTAATTGTAAATTAAATGGCTGATATAGAGCCACTATTTTAAAAACATATTTCAGGTTAAAAGAAACAGCCAAAAATTAAATTGACACACTTTCCCTCTCCCCCAAATGTAGTCCATCAGCCAAGACATGTTTCTGCTTCTTTTTTTCTACAAATGTTGCTAACAAGTAAGCCTCCAGTTTAGCATTATACTAGTCTCTTACAATCTAGACTTCTAAGATTGCAACCTTCATGATCCTGAAGCTTGTGGCCAGAAAAATGTACAAAAGTTATCAGATATGACAGAGCATCTGAGGCTCCACCCACAGCACACAATGATATCTTTTGTACACTTGTCTGGCCACAAGCTTCAAGATCTTCAGAAGCAATCTGATTGGCTGTTTGCACCACTGGTTTCAGATGGGAAAACAAACATTTGAACACAGTGACACAATCAACTTTTTGGAGCACGACAGAGTCTCTATATTAAAAAAAAAAAAAAAAAAAAAAAGGATTACTAAACTATGTGCAGAGTAAGAAAGTCATAAGTGTGTCATGATTGTGACTTGCACACTGTTATACTGATAGCAGTAAGCTTTTCTTACTTGATAACATCATTAGCCTCAAAGTGAATTTTAGAGATCACACACGTCTTTGTTTCTTGACTACACTTGAGGTACATGGGAAACCGTGTTAATTTCATAATTGTTGAACTATTTAAAGACATTCATGTTTACAAGCTTTAGGCTAATCGGGGTAAATGCTGAAGTGCTGTCCATCTGGATCCAGCCCTGCTGGGGAGTGT